CCCCCCCAAAACCCACAACCCAAACCCCCCCCCCCCCCCCCGGTGGAAGGGACTCGCTAGAAGGGACTCTTCTAAAAGAAGCAAACTCTAAATTCAGATCAGGCATTAAAATGATCAATAAATTCATTGTGGGCCCTCAAATATGAAAAAAAATATTTTTTTTTTAAATTTTTTATATAAACTAATGTTGGTATTAGATAAAACAAAATTAATAAAGATACATTCCACACTTCAATTAAAGTGCACTCCTTAACTGCACTTTAAAATTAAATTGTGACAAAAGCTTTTAAAAATTTTGAGCTGAATGGTATGTACAAATATTTTTAGTAATGAGTTGCAGTGTGAGGTAATATGAAAAATTTTTAAAAATTAACCCCTACCCTTGACACAGGTCCACCTGGAAGAGCATCATTTGCCACACGTGGTGCATTAACCACAAGTTGAGAACAGCAGGCAAAAATTATTATTGGGAGGCCCTAACCTGCACCCTGCTCATCCCAGTGTTGCATTTTTTAAGATACGTGTGATTGGTAACAAGAGACGAACTAACCTGTCCCTTGGCCCGCTGACTGGAATGTGGCATCGGACTGAATGAGTCGACCGGTGAGAAGCCAGCCGTGGAGCTGGAATCCTGACTCTGGGCCAACTTTTGTTTGAACTGCTCGATGACCGCATCAATTTTAGGTGTGGTCAACACAGGCATGGAGGAACCAGACTCCTGGTTAGTTGGAGGATCAAGACATGTACAAATTAATAGTAAAAAATAAGCTTTATTTTATTGATAGGGTGCATTAGTCTTTGTAAGATCGGTTTTTGGAAAATATATTACTCTTACTTTGATCTAGCACTGCGCACGACCAAGCTAACTCAACGCATTCCAGAAAATTTAGCTTGCACCAAACGCGATTAATGAAAAACATTACCACCACAGATATGCACAGGTTGCAAGAAAGTTATTTGACATGTTTAGATAATGAGATTTTGAAAACTGCTGGAGAGTATTACATGTTAAAAAAAATGTAATCACAGGTGAATTCAATCGTGCAACACTTGAGAGATGTGACATTGGCCAAGTGCAGTTTTGTATGTTCTATGTCAATAAGATGCTCTCTAATCATATTCCAAAAAATAACAAGGCTTTTTAGATAAAAAAATTAATTCACTTTTCCCCGTGTCAGGAGAGGAATAACTGTGTTAATAACAAATCATAGAGTTATCTGTAATATGGTTCAGTTCTATGCCTCTGAAAAATTTTTTGCACCTTCATTATTTAACATGACTGGAATTACAAACATCTCTGAAGAAAATAAATGTTCATTATAATTAGACTAATTGTTCTAAAATGCCCTTTATTTTAACTTTAAGAATAACTCTTTTAATTGCAGAATCAAGTATGTTCATATGTAGTCAGCCCAATTTTTTTTTGTCATTCAAGTTTAGTAAGAATGTGCACACACCTAAACATTTTTTTTATGTTTGAGTCTAGTAGGAATGTGCACACACCTAAACATTTTTTTATGTTATTCTACTAGGAATGTGCACACTGAAGGTCTTACCTGTGACTGCTGGTCTTGGCTGCTGGACAACAAGAAGTCTAGGTAAGCTTCCAAGCCTGACACAGGAGTATAAAAATGTTTTCATTCTGGCTCAGATACAGACCAGTTTACCCTCAAACTCTTAAAATCGTACAATATAGTTACAAAATCTTTCAATACATTATCTTAATTGTAAAAAAATAAATATACATTATATAATGTATACACCTCAAAATCGTACATTGTACGCCAAAATCATAAGAGTAAACAGGTCTGCAGATACAACACAGGCAGAGGTAAGATATGTCCCACATGTGAAATGCAAGACATCTAAAACTACGTGACTTTCACATTAAACACAAGAATAAACATAATGACCAGAAACATCATCTCTACACCACAAGAATAGAACTATCCAGGTATTTAATCACTAGACCACATGAAACAAACTAACAAGGTTTATAATCTCTAAACCACATGAAACAAATTACCAAGGTTTATAATCTCTAAACCACATATAAGAAACTATCCATCTTTATAATCTCTAAACCACATGAAATAAACTAACCAGGTATATAATCTCTAAACCACATGAAACAAAGTAACCAGGTATATAATCACTAAACCACATGAAAAAACTAACCAGGTATGGACGCCACAGATTCAAGATTTCTCGCCAGCTTGCCAGACTTGTCAAGGCCATTTAATGTTTCCAGTTGTGGGAGATTGGACCAGAAGTCTTGCTCATAACCTGTCCAAGGTGAAAATCTAACATTAAAAGATACTGAAATTATTACACTGGATGTCATCGACAAAATTCTACGACAAGAATGTTTGAATCCCCCTTGATGCAACAAATAGAAAGATATGAAAATTTTTACCCTGGATGTGACACAGTGGGTTCCCTGATCCCTCCTGACGAAGCACCATGTTGTGTAAACTCTTTATTTCTCCGACAGCCAGGATCACGTCTTTGATGCTCCTCAGCTTGTTCCCGTGCAAGGCCAAGTAGCCCAGGTGATAGGCAGGTCCAGAGAAGCATTTCAGCCCACTCACATCTTCTATCTGATTATAGCTCAGGTTGAGGGTCTCCAGGGATCTGAGTGGCGATTGTGTTCAAGATGGCCAGATTAATGAGACTCGGAATTTATTGTCAGTGGGAAAAGATATCAAGATGGCCAGATTAATGAGACTCGGAATTTATTGTCAGTGGGAAAAGATATCAATATAAATGGCCTCCCACTATATAGCACAATCCGACATTGATTTCAATTTACATACATGTAGCCTACAGTAAATGTATGAGAAACCAATGTAAATACCATTGCGACTAACCAAAAGCAGTAGCCAGTGTTAAGCCCATCATCCATCTCACCAGCACATGTTTGTTAAGGCCAGTTTCCCTTGTTTTTTTTTTTTTAAGGACCTCTGCTTTTTTTTAAGGTCATCTGCTTTATTCCCCCCCAACCCCCCCCCCCCACCCCACAAGACATTGGAGGTACTGGAGTTTCTCGTTTTAGATTCCAATTACTTTAAGTAACGGCCATTAACCATAATCATAAGAGATCACACTGTATGTATATTCTATCATTAGAGATCACACGATGTGTATATTATATCATTAGAGATCACACTATGTGTATATCACATCATTAGAGATCACACTATGTGTATATCACATCATTAGAGATCACTCTATGCGTATATCACATCATTAGAGATCACTCTATGTGTATATCACATCATTAGAGATCACTTGATGTGTATATTATATCATTACAGATCACACTTTTTTGGTGGTGTTTCCCCCATGAGCTATTTAGTTAACAGACTAAATAAAGTTAAAATTTTATTTCAACTCTCAATTTTAATATTCTTGGTTTTCAGCCATTTTGTTTTTCTCCCTCAATACAAACTGGCTGGTTCCTCAGTGAAGAACATAGCAGTAATAACATGTTATATATCATTGGATTCGGAATTGAATGATCTGTTACTTGATACCAATTATGAGATCAGTTACTTATGGTTTTGATTCATGGCCAAAAGATTAAGTTTTTAGGTGTGCTAAATTTTCACAAACAATGTAAAAAGACCACAAACAGGTAAAAAAAATATTTTTTTTAAGGTATTTGGGCTTTAATTAAAAAGTTTATTATATCCATCAATGGTATCCATTTTTAAAACAAATATAAAAATTTCAAGAAATTTTACCAACATTTCTATTAATTGTGACATTTTTTTTTTTTTAATTCATAAATTAAAGAAAACAAAGCAAGCATTTCATTACAGAAATACTAATATTATTACTAAAAATATTAGCAAATGATGCAAGTGGAGATAAAAAATTTGAGATAAAAAATGTTAATGTTTTTTTCTTCTAAATATACCACATTGGGTAAAATAAACAAATATCGGTTATGAAATAAGACAATTTCTGTTTTCCAGAAAACTCATAGATTTAACAACGGCAGCACATTCAGCGTTAGTTCACACGATCAAATTAGCTTCAAATTCGCTTCAAATTTTTGTATGAACACACTATTTTGTGCGTGGTTCCTTTTTCTTTTGGACAAAAATGGGAATTTGATCAAATACTAATTTGAAAGTCGTGACAAGACTTCATACAAAAAACGCATCAAATGCATGATCGAAAATTTTATCGTGTGAACTGAGCCTTTGTCCTAAATTTTCTCTTTATTTTATGAACCCAATCAAGATTTTCACATTATATCTTTAACTGTAAGTACCAATGCAGTTTTAACAGCCAGCCATTGCTCAGTTATCATCATTCATATTGCTGCAGCAAAAACATGAACATTAAAAGAAATTTGACTCTAAGCAGAACACTAGAAAATTATTTAAAATGAAAGAATAAGCCTCTTCGCAGTCTGGGCCACTGTTGTTGTTTTCTTCTACTAACCACATTTTTGTCCATATTATTTGCATTTATTCCAAAGCTGATATCTTTGTACCCACTAATTATCACAATCCAATAAACTAGCCACAGTAGGTGCATTTAGCTTAGCCTACAATAACAACAGAAGCATTTATACTATGTTTTGATCTTGAATCTGCCAGGACCAACAGTTCATTCACAGTTGTGTTGTTCATATCGATATTATGTTACATTTATGAAATGAGTATGTCTTATCCTCTCCTGCTTCTCTTTATTATTTATTATGGTTGCTCCGTGGACCATATTTGCATGCATGTCCTTTTCATCAGGTACAGCTGAAATTAACTGTACCTGCTTATCACTAATCTTCTTTCTATTTGCTGCCTAAGATTCACAAAGTGGGCAACCCGGGATGACATATTGTCTCGGCCTGCCCCTGCCCCACTGAACACATTTCAGAATTTCTAGAAGAAGTCTTTCAACCCTATGTTACCTCATTACCCTCCTACATTAAGGATACCAACAACGCTTTAGTGTCATTTAATTCTCCAAACATCAACCCTGACTCAAAACACTCACTGTTTTTACTTGATGTCTGCTCCTTATACACATCAATCCCACATCCTGACGGCCTTATGGCACTCCTCTATCCCTACTGACACTATTATCAGATTGGCCGAACTGGTATTTAACCTCGAATCCTTTGAATTTAATGGCCATTTCTTTGACCAAATCAGTGGTGTAGCCATGGGCACCAAAATGGGCCCAGCTATGCTTGCCTATTCATGGGTCATTTTGAATATATGATAGAGAGAGCATATACTGGCCATATTCCAGAATTTCATAGGAGATACATAGATGACGGCATAGGTATCACCAGCATGGAAACTAATGATCTCCAGAAATTTATAGATTTTTTTAAACTCATTTCACCATTCAATAAAATTTACTTCTCAAATCTCTGGACATTCTGTCAACTTCCTTGATATCACCGTAACATTGAAAGAAAATGAATTGATTACATCTGCCTACTACAAACCTACTGACAGCCATAGTTACCTATTATACTCATCCTCCCACCACAAATCATGCAAAGACTATATACCTTTCTCACAACTTCTTAGACTATGGCGTCTCTGCCAAATTGATGAGGAATTTCTAGAAAAAGCTTATGAAATGATGGATTTCTTTCGCTCCAGACCCTATCCTGAAACTACTCTTGTCTCAGCACTAGATTGCATCAGCACGATCACATGAAAAGAGGCTTTCAAAACTCGCCCAAACAACAATGAAGATCGTACCAAACTTATACTTAACTACCACCCTCACAATTTAACTTCCAAAAAAATATTCCTAAAAAATCGTAACATACTTCTTGCTGACCCGATACCAACAGGGTCTTCTCATCCCCTCCACTGATTGTCTTTAGACGGGACAGAAATCTAGGTGATCTTCTGGTTCATAGTCGCCTTCGATCTGAACCGTCTTATGTTGGTACTAAACCATGCTTAAGAAGCCGCTGCAGGACTTGTCCCTTTACACTTCAAACTGAAAACATTAGCCTCCCTAAAGGTACCTTTACCATTAAAGAGGGATTCACTTGTGTCAGCCGTAATGTGATATATGCGATTGTGTGCCGTAGATGCCAATCTAGTTACATAGGTGAAACTGGGAGAAGATTAGCTGATAGGTTTACTGAACATCTAAGGGATATTGAGCAATGTAAACCTTCCCCGGTCTCTTCTCATTTCAACAGAAAAGAACATAAAGTTGCATTGGATGTAACCATTACGGCACTGATTTCATGCAGTAACACAACAGAGAGGGTTAAAAGGGAAAATAAATTTATTCAGCTGTTTGGCACCATATCTCCATATGGTATTAATCAAATAATATCCTACTGATGTTTCTCTGTTTTCCTATATTTCATCTATTTTCTTATTGCTGTGTGTTGATGTATCCCTGGATATTCTGGTCCATTATTATTGTGGACTTCATTTTTCACAGTGTCAATATTTTTATTCTCTCGCTTCCTGTGTTCCCACTTCCGGCAACACGAATGGATACTTCTTGAGTTGTCTACTGTGCTCTATTCTTTATTATATTTTCATTTCTACTGTTGGCTGAGGAAGGCTTTATGCCAAAACGTCCTTGTTTTTTGTCCTGTTATCTTTTTCAAGCTTCACACATACCTCGTTTTGCTATTTCATTCATGTATCACTAATCAGCAGATTACTCAGTTTTTTTCATGAAGAAACTCACTGTATAGGTCTGTATATTGGCCTAAAAACAATTTATGAATTCCATAATCCAGTGAATAAACTCCTTTATATCCAGTAACAGATCACACAAGGGGGGCTTGTAGGTTATGTGAGTCCAATAAATGTTTGAAATTTGTTTATCAGCTGGAATGTCCAGTATTAAAATCAAGTTGGCTTAGTTGCCATAACATTGCAGATGCAATTGTTGCATGCATTTACAAAGCATCTCCAGTCTTCTTGATGTAAATGTTTAAAAGTGATAAAGGTATATGTACTCCTTATCTTGTCTGGTTTTGGACAGGTTTCAGTAGTTAGCTCAGGACTTATGACAGGAATAGCATTGCCATGATGATTGGGTTGCCCAATGTTCTGTTCACCCCTCTGATACTGAGAATTGATAATAGAATATCAGCATTTCATATAGGCTTAGATCGTATAATTTTTTTTTTAAACTGACCAAAACTAAATGCATTATTCCATTAAAAATAATAAGAATTCAAATTAAAAGCTGATTTAAATCCAAAATAAATTATAGACTCCAAAATTCATTGCCTCTTTTTAGCGTATCCCATGTAAACAAAGGAAATTTCTAACAACTAAGCCTATGAAAAAAAAAGATAATAAACATGCACTTTATGAACTGCAACAAGAACTTAATATAAATAAGCTTAAACACTTAATTTCAATATTTATGAAGTCCCCTGTTATAGCATATCAATGTAAATATAGTTTTTTTACACTAATTCCACAAAATTTGATACGTTTTGACCCATAATAACAAAGAAAAAAATCTTACCACTGATAGCAAACTTTTCGATCAAGCGAAAATACACAAAATCATCAGCATTCTTGCATTCTTCTTGTTTTTATCGGGCTAATATCACTTTTTGACTTGAAATTTAATCAACAACATCATTGGAAGATAAATGTCGAGTCCATTTGTGTCATTTTAT